AAGCTGATGCAGCAGCCCAAGCCTGGCAAACCCAGTGAGTGGACTCGGGGCGGGGGCCGCTGGGATGGGGTGGGCTCGCGGGGGGCTGTGCACCCTCCAGGGGAGTTCAGGGGGAGGGGAGGAGGGAACCTGGTCTGGGGAGCATTCCCAGGGCCTATAAAGGCTCATTGGGATTTGCCCCTCAATGAACCGATGTGGGGGGGCGGGGTGCAGCGCGCAAGGTGGAAGTTTCGCCTAGGGCGTAAAATATCCTTGCACCGGCCCTGGCTGCAGGAAGCGGCGCAGGACGAGGGATGTGCTGGCCATGGCTTCTCGCAGTCCCCATTGGCCAGTAGGAGCCGCGATTGGCTGAACCTGAGGATGCAGCAAGTAAACAAACCAGCCCAGCCCGCCAGGGGGCTTACCCTGGTGGGCCGCGTGCCGAAGGTTGCCGATCCCTGGGATAGGAGAAACGGGGGCCCAGAATGCGGATCCCCTTGGCAGCAGCTGGGGCTCCCCTGTTAAGCAGGCCCGTCAAACTCTCACCCTGACAAGCCCCACTTCCCCTGCATCTGTACCACCCCGATAAGCCCCGCCCCCAGACATTCTCCCCAGTGAGCCCCAACCACCTGCACCTGGACCCCCACCCTGCTGAGCTTCAACCACTTTCACTTGGTCCCCCCTGCAGACTCCCATTGCCCCTGCACCTGGCACCTCCCTGTGCATCCAGATCCTCCACTGAGCTGCCTGCACCCAGACTGCCCCCCACAGAACCCTCTTACCCCCTCTACAGAACCCTCTTACCCCCATCTGGATACCCCCACACTAAGTCCCTCTGCACTTGGATCCTGCTCCCGGGCTGAGCCTCTCTGCCCACATCTGGTGTGCCTGGCGCAAAAGGGCAGGGCCCCAGGGTGTTTCTGTGGCAGGCATGGCCCTTGTTCTGTGTCAGGTTCAGCCTCACTGGCAAGTCCCTGTCCCAAGGGGCCGGGGGAGTGTTGGATGAGTTGGAAGTTCTGGGGGAGCTGTCAGGGGGCAGGAGAGGGTTGGATGAGTTGGGACTTCGAGGGCGCTGTCAGGGGGCAGGGGGAGGGTTGAATGAGTTGGAAGTTCTGGGGGGCTGTCGGGGCGGGGAGGGTAGGATGAGTTGGAAGTTCAGGCGGGCTGTCAGGAAGCAGGGTGGGTTGGATGAGTTGGGAGTTCTGGGGGTCCTGTCAGGGGGCGGGGAGTGATTGGATGGGGCGTGGGAGTCCCGGGGGTCTGTCTGGGGGCAGGGGTGTGGATAAGGGTTGGGGCAGCCAGGGGACAGGTGGGGACGGGACTCAGGTGGGGCTCAGGCAGGCTGTCAGGGAGCAGGGGGGGTTGGATGAGTTGGGAGTTCTGGGGGGGCTGTCAGGAAGCAGGGCGGGTTGGATGAGTTGGGAGTTCGGGGGGGCTGTCAGGGGGCGGGGGAGGGTCGAATG